TTTTTTTTTTGAAAATTTACGGTGTTACAGCATAATATTAACATTTTTTTTTGGTATTTTTCATTAATTAGTATGTATTGTTCAAACTTCATTTTTCAACCTTTTAAGGCAATGCATATTCTTTTTATACATAAATATGTTACACATCATTTTTGATTATATATGATAAACTTTTTATGTATTGTTAGCATGCTCAAACTTATTTATGATGATTACCATAATCTTTCTAAACATCAAATACATTTGTATCATTATAGAAATCTTATATTAATCTTGTGATTATCCTTAATATTTATTTTCATATTTCATGTAAAGTATAAACATATCATCTTTTAACAAACTACTTTAACTTACTAGATTTATTGGTGATTTATCATATTTTAGATTGCTATTTCATGACTTTTAAACAATAACAAAGTATAATGCCTTTTTATGTATAAAAACTTGTAAAACATCAAGACTTTGATAAATACGCATGTATTCATCCCCAAATATGAAAACCGTAAAAGAGAGACCTTAGAAACTCACCCTGGAAGCGTGGGTTCGATTTGTTCGGAGTTGGTAAATTTTTGTGAAACTTTACATGAGAAACTTCAACTTGACACTCTTGAACTTTGAAACACTTTCGGGACTATTTTGTATTAATTTAAATAAAAAAGGATTACTTTGTAATGATTTAAATCAAAAGGAAACAATTTTCATCTTTTAAAATAAATGAAGGTTTGTTTAGTAACTTAACTAACTAAAAGGGGTTGTTTTTGTCAAACCAATCAAATGAGAGGGACTGATTTGGTCTTTTAAAAAAATAAAGGGATTGATTTGGTAAAATTTAAACAGATGGGCGTTGATTTACAATAATTTGATCAAATGAGGCTGATTCTAATTAACTAATACAAGTGAGGGGTTGATTTTGTCCAGCAACACAAATGAAGGGGCTAATTTGGACAAGTAGTTCAAACAAGGGGAAAGGTTCTTCAATCTGTGACCGATTGTGAAGAAAAAAGAAGGTAGAAATTGAGGGAGGGTCTTCGATCCTCGTCTTATCGATAAAAGAGGTGAGCAGAACATGGAAAATGGGGCATCAATGGTTTTTAGTCAGTCACGAGGAAGGGAGAGCCGGCATAATGTTGTCACCAGCGACAGTGGAATCATAAGGGAGGATGTCGTTGACGTCTAGTGGCGAGGGGTTGCTCTGTGGCTACCTCGCCAGTTCATCCTTCTTTTCCGGTAGCAAACACAAAGGAAATCAAAGCAGCAACAATAACCTCAAAAGGGAGTGTTTGAGTGTGGTAATTGTCGACAAAAAAGAGGAAGAGGAGGAACTGTCTTGGTTGGCGACAACCATTGATTCTCTTCCTTGTTTGACTGGTGATCAGAAACAAAAGGGGGGTATCTCTAGTTCTTGTTTGATCGGGGAAGAAAAACGAAAACATCGAGGAATAGTTGTCGATCCAAGAAGAATAAAAATAAGGAAGGTGAGATACAGAGAAAATAGAGCGGGGATCGAGAGACTAGTGAGAGAAATGGTAGCTTCAGTTTGAACCTAAGCTTTCTGAATTATTGAAGTTAAATTGACCTTTTTTGGAGATATTTTTGGGTAATAAAGCACATGCATAATTCCTTATATGATGTTATTTCATTTCTTGATTCTCATGATATCGTCTCATGAAAAATTTCTGAAAATGTCTGCTTATACTCCCAGTTGTGGTGATTCCAAAAACGCAGACGAAATTAAATTTCGATATACAGAACTTCAGAAAATAGTGTTTAAAATTTCGCGATTAATTAGGTCCAATTCGACAGATTTTACGATAAATAGTTTGTTGTGCAGTTTGAGATGTTTTTGAAAGTAATTATGAATATAATATCTTTAATATACATTATAAACACAAAACTACACAAAATTGGTCCTTAATACATGGTGGTTCACCGGTGGTTTGATCGTCGAACTCTGACCATTAATACATCCATTGTATTCAAATCTGTGAGTTTGGGAGGTTGGCCTCCTGTTTTGAGAGCTTAATAAAAGTCTGGACATCAGCAGAGCTACGCTTAGCATAACATGAAAATCTACCATTTTTCATTTGGAGCTCTACGTTGAGCGTAGAGGAGTGTGCTACGTCATGTGTAGGTCTACGCTGAGCGTAGGTATGTGCTACGCTAAGCGTAACGCGTAGACCATTGAATTTTGGATGAGTTTGACTTTTTGACAACTATGTTGGGATTTAGTCTTAGAAGAATGGTCTTTTTCCAAAAGGAGTATTATTTGTGAACCAAGACTATTTTTGGGTTAGTTATTACCTTAGTTGCTAATTAGGGTTTACTATGTGTATGTTTAGTGTGAGGAGACTCAGTATCATCAACTCCAGTGTGTGGGTTATGTTTTCTTCAGATTGAGGTGAGTTTCTCACTATATTATATAGGATGCTAGTCGTATTTGTGATGCTCTCATGGAAGACCAGTATGTGGCCCATAACATATGTATGAAAGATCAGGATGTGGCCCCTAACATATATATGAAAGACTAGGATGTGGCCCCTAAAATTTGTATGAAAGATGATTATATCGCCCCTAACAATTATATAAAAGACCAGGATTTGAACCTTGGAAATTATATGTAAGAGTAGGATATGACCCTTGACATTTGTATATAAGATGCTTGTTGTCTTCATGATACTTTCATGGAAGACCAGGATATGCCCCTGTCATTTGTATGCAAGATCAGGATTTGGCCCTTGACAATGCAAGGAAAGACCATGATTTGGCCCATGGTAGAAAGTGATTGTAATACTATGATTTGACCCATGGCATTCACTTTCTTTTGTATGGTATGTGATATTTTAGGGAACTCGCTAAGCTTTGTGCTTACAGTTTATGCTTAAAATGTTTTAGTTACTTCTGATTCTAAAGGGAAGGGCCCAAATTGATCATACTGTATCTCTTGGAGACTCATTCCACATTGATTGTTTTTCATTTTACTTTGATGTTTTTAGAATACTGTTACTCGGACTGTCTTTTGAAACATATGAATGAATGGTTTTGATTTATTTAAAATCAAATTTTTACTTAGTATTTTTGGGATGTTACACAAGGTCGACACCTTGGCTTCACCTTGTCCAACTTGTTCCATATCAGCTTCTTTCTTGGCCTTCTTTGGAAAGAACTAGACTTGCACTTTATCAAAAACCCAACTCACCCCTTCCAGTCAAGCATAATGCTCACATCAAAGCCATCACAAAAGCTAGGACCTTCGCTTTATGTGTTGTTGTCTGTTGTATCCGGACACCAAATTTTTTTATTTGATATCCTCTGCCACCAACATTATTGAAGACCATCACAACTTCCCTAGCTCCTTAATTTATGTATCATGCAAGCCATAAGAATCCATATCCGTTTTCCTTCTGACATCTCTCATCTTTTACTTCATTATCGGCTTTTGATTTTGGTTTCTAGAACATGAATATATATGATTTTCGGATTCAATTTTAGTGGAGAATGTAATATGGGGACTTCGGTTTTTGGGTTTGATTTGGGGATTTAAGTTTATATGGGATGGCTACCGTCTTCAAGGTAAGATGATGGGAGGTAATGGTGGGAAATTGGCAGTTTATGCGGTGGAAGGTAGGTTGTAGTCGTCGTCAGAGGCAAAGCTGACAGTGAAGACTGGGGATCAAGAGAGTAAGAGGGTGAGGACTAAGGAGGATGACTTTGGTTGGGCGTTTGGGATTTTACTTTTGGTTTATTTAATTAAAAAAAATATGAAATCTTAAAGAAAATAGATAAAAAGAAACTAAAAAATAATCACATGGGGCATATTCGTCATTTTAGGTTGGGTGTTGATCAAAACCAAATAAAAATGTCAACCATATGGACCAAGACCACCTAATGTATCCACAATTGTACCATATGGATCAAAAATGATGCACTATCAAAATTTTTGGGATATAAACCACATACCTTTGACAATCACAAAGATCATTTTTGTAATTTTATCTATTTTTAATGTAGAAATGATAAACAAAAACAATAGAAAACTTATACATACATATATATATATATATATATATATATATATGGGAAAAATGTATATACCCTTAAGGGTATACAAGCTTAGGAACCCAAACCCACCATAATACGTCGTTTTGTTAGATATATTTATTAAAATATTCTTAAACTTCAACCATTAATTTGATTTACTTTCTAGATTTACGAAATTTCACTATTATCTTCCTCTTAGATTACATATTTTTTACGAACACCTACAAGGCTATATATATTATAGTTGAAAATGAAAATTATGTAAGAGTAAAAGTGAAATTTATAAAAATCTTGGAAGTAAATCAAGTTAGAAGATGAATTATAAAAACATTGAACAATTACAATGTATATATGATACGAAACGATGTAGTATCGTGAGTTTGAGTACCTACGCTTATATACGATTAAGGGTATATTCACTTTTCCCTATATATATATATATATATATATATATATATATATATATATATATATATATATATATATATATATATATATATATATATATAGAGAGAGAGAGAGAGAGAGAGCAAGAAAGAGAGGAATGATCATTTGAGAACTCAAAGTTTCCCGATAACCCGAGAACTAAAGGTGGAGCGTTAGATCAAAATCTTGAATGGCTAAGATTAATCATGGCGTAATTGTAATTATCACTTGTTTCGATGGTATCTTAGAAATTTTATAAATATTTACAAGTGAAAATTAGGAATTAAAAATATAAATCATAATAATCAATTTAACAAATTGAAAGAAACCCCACACACAAACACGTGTTTCTCACTTTCTCTCTCATCTCTTAGGTTATTCATGACTCCATCATCTGCCTCCTTCTGGTGATTATCTCTCCATGTGATCTTTCCACCATCGATTTCTGCCAAGTCTATTGCCATATTGAGGATCGAATTCGATGCACAGACTAAGGATCGACGATCCACTCCATCTACCGCCTTCCTCCTCCGTCTCTACTTGTTCTGACAAACAACAACGATTACCAATCCACGGTCCTCGTCTGGCATATCAACGATGTCAAATCCACGATCCAGAAGATCTACTTCATTCCTTTTTATGTTCGATTGCAACACTAAACCGTCGAATCGCATTTGTGGATCACCTTTATCTGGCGGGGATCTTATATCTCCAATGCCTTCTTTTCCAATCGCACCTTCGACCGCCACAAACTACATAAACACCGTCACATATGACTCCAACCTCCACAGTTCCCACCCATGTATCAATTATCAAGTAAGTATCATCAATCACTTCATGATTGAATCTATTTTCATGACATTGATCTGCTACATTGAAATGTTGATAATCTGATTTACTTCAGTTTAATTCTATTCTTCCAATATTGTTTGACATAGAATACTCTTTAAATCAAAACTACTGATTTTCGTGAGAGTGGAGATCTCCTTGCTCTGCTCACCACTTGTTCGATGAAATGCCTCAGAGGGTTTTGGGTTCTTTTGAGCTCCGAAGAAGTGACATCACATAGAGATCATTCTTTTTCGAAAATTGGAATACATCAAGTGACATTTGCTCTAACTTGCATTCTCTTTTTCACTTCATCGATTATTGTTTTCATCATATATTTTAGCAGTCTAGTTCCAAATGTTTTGTGCCCTAAAATTCAATGAGCTCTTACAATATTTTCATTGTTTCTGATGATTTGGTGCATATCCCCCTTACCGTGAACGAATGTTTCTTGCTCATATAAGCTGGTTCTTTATACCACTTCTTCTTAGATTACCTGTTTGAGGTAATATTTCTCTTCAGGTTTACATAATAGAGGCAAAAATGATAAGAGTTATTAGTTGATTAGAGATCAAATATGGTAGGAAAATGGGCATTCAACCATGTAGACTTGGATACTGAGTACTGGTTGGTGGAAAGGTTGTGCTCCTGTTAATCTAGATGTTGTTGTAATTAGGTTTCTCTGCACCTGCTTAATAATTGGCTTCATTCGAATCAACAAGTGCTTCTTTTTACCTTATGATCTGAAATATTAAACAACATATATGTTTTTATCATATATCTTGATCTGGGGTTCAATCTGGATGGCTCCATTTGTGCCTTAATGGTAAGAGACTTAATGAACATTATTGAATTAGATCATATATTTTGTGTGTATTAAACAAATTAATTGCATTAATCTCAAAGGTTAAAAACCTGCAATATGTGCAACATCAAGATAAGCTCACCTTTGTAAGTCTGTGAAATATGATGGAATGCTAATCACACAGCTTAAAACAGGGATTTCAAGGTTTTTCTGTCATATGCTTTAAATATGCAAATAACATTCCCAAAATATGCACAGGTCTATAAGTGTGTTTCGCATTCAAGTACTGTAAGTGAATCAAAACACCACCATCAGAAGCTTCACTAGTTTCAAAAGGTAGTAACTTAAGATCATCCTACACTAGTGGATTCTTGTATTCACTTCCAATTAACCTTTTAACTTGAGAAATAGTAGATCAAGGGTTCATAGTAGCAGATGCAGCTCCAGCAGAACCCAAAAACCTTTGCTTCTCACCAAAACTCACCACAAAAGGTGTCTCGCGATTTGATTCGTCATTCAATAATACATCAATCCCACAGTTTTTTGCAGCAGCGATTACACAATTTTCGCCCCCAATATCAAACCCAACCACACTCATTTCTAAAATTTTAAGTTTCAACACAGTTTATTACGCAGAAATTCATTCAATTATGAACAGTGGCTTCACCTAAATCATGTTAACAAAAAAAAAAAAAATCAGTCCATATAACTCCAAATTAACCACGGAGAAAAAGAGAAACAAGAGTTCAGGTGATAATATGGCATTGACTATTGAGAGCGAGACTTCTTACCTAAAACTAACGAATTGTGTAATTATCAGAACTTGAAACGTAATTCTACAATCGGAATTTCTCAATTAGAACCCTGATGAGTTCCGTAGTGGTATATTTTAGAGGATAAACGACGAACACGCTGACCGAGGATAGCGGCGGAGGAAAAGAGAGACATACCTTGAAGTCAAAATGAAGGCCTAGAGGCAGACGTAGAAATCAATTCGAAGGGATATAGGTGGATCAGATCTCTGCTATCGATGGTTAGCAAAGAGGGGAGGGAGGTTGGAGAATCTTCGACAGAGATAATGGCACGCCGATGTAGTATTGATCTTTGAAGGAGAGGCTGGAGGATCTCTCGATCTCTTGTCGATGCTTTCCGAGGCGAAGGCACCACCACCATGAAGACGAAGCAACAACGATAAAGACGTGTGTGTGTGTGAGAGAGAGAGAGAGAGGATAAGAATCGGTGTTGAATAATGAAAGAAATGGTTTTCTAAATTACTTAAAACAATTACTAATTATATTTTTCATACCCAATATACCCCTCTGATTTTATTTTAAAAGTCTAAGTTCATTGAAGTTGTTTTTAATTACAATTATACCATGTTTGATCTAGGTTAAAAAATTTTGATCTAACATTTCATTTTTAGTTCTTAGGTTCTCAGGAAAATATGAGTTCTCAAATGATCTTTCATCTCTCTCTTTCTCTCTCTCTCTCTCTCTATATATATATATATATATATATATATATATATATATATATATATAGAGAGAGAGAGAGAGAGAGAGAGGAAGAATAGTCGTTTTACATTATTCAGGGACCAACAATGTAATAAAACCAAAATACATGGACTGTTCGAGTTTTAAAAAAAAATATTAAAAACCAAATACCATGTCATCGGTACGATCCATATAATTTACCCAAATATGCTAGGTTCAGACGGAGAAACGGAGACATGGTGCTATGTGATAAATTTTACAAAATTTTTGGTAATTTTTGGCGGTATCAAAAGGTACCTGTTTTGAAATTTTAAAAAGGCCCTATGATGTCGAAAGAAATGAAAATGGCCCAACCCAAACTATGCCCGCAAAACGAGCCGAAGTCTCAAAAGTCCAAACCTTTGAATGCAAAATTAAAACCTGAATTCCATTAAACTAAAGAAAATTACAAAAACTCTCAAAATGGATAATAATTTTAAGAATCTTTTATCTAGTCAGTTAATTAATTTGATTGAGTCTCTAATTTATTTATTATCAGTATTTCGTAGACAGGACCTGGTCCTTCGTTTTTCTGTTAGTAGTTGCGTGAAAATGGGCAGTAGCTTAGTATAAATAATAAATCTCTCTCTTCTTCATCATAATAAATCTATTTTATTAACTCTACGACATATTGTTTTTGGATGCATGGCTTCACTTACGATTGTTAATTGCATGATTTTTTTTTTTTAAATAAGTAATGCATCTTGTGTGAAGCTATAATGACGTTCTCCTCAATACCAATGCAATGATTGTATTGCAGTTGGACGTTAAGGGAACAACACTTATGCATAATAGATTAATAACAAGTTTTTATAATCTAATTAATTCCAAGCATTTCATCCTTAGATCTTGTGTTTTGGCAGTCTTCTCATGCGTTTTTTGGTCTAATTTTAAATGTAAGTTTTTGTTCAAGTTTTCACAGTTGTCGTTCTTCGGGCTTTGCTTGGAATAGTTGTCTCATTTTTTTTTTTTGTTTCACTCCTTTAGAAATAAAACTTAAATGAGGTTTCAGATTATCGCCAAAATTGTATATATTTGCTGAAAACTACAATACATATTGGAATATCAATCGTGGGTGTGGATCTCAGGTGGTGAAAGTAGAGGTGGAGATAGAAGTTTGAAATAAAGTATACTTTCTTGCGGGTGTTGTTAGAAAATAGTTAAATAGGGTATGGAATAGAAAATTAGTGAAAATCCATAATAACCCCAATTTGGTTTATTGTTTCTATCTTTAACACTAATTAAATATTACAAATATGTGGTTAATTGTGTTTGATTGGTCATGTATAATCGCTTTTTTTTTTTTTCTTTTTTTTGTATTTCGTCCATATACTGTCTGGGAATCACAAAACTTAATACAGGATAATTAATTAAGAAAACCTTCAAACCTGGCAATGAATGAAAGCCAAATCACTATGAGTACGAGAGAATTGTTTAATTTTCATAAATCCTATTATTTTTATCCAAAGAAAATGACATTATAGCATAGAGAACTTCGTATGTAGTTTCAAATTGGTCATCTAATTCTTTTTTTCTTATACAATAGGTCGTTAAAATTGAAATTCATCTTTTAAATAGGAGCTTGACCCCCAAATCTACCGGGTTACCTGGTTTTCCAAGTTATGTGGCATCCGTGGTGGAGCCAAACCTTAAGGAAACAATGGTCCATTTTATTAATTACTATAATAAAAATTAAAATATTAAAATAAAACTAATCCATTAAACTGTTGCTATGCATGGCAAAGAAAGAATTGTGAATTTGGCTAGAAAAAAAAAAGAGCTAAGAAAGCATAAGCATGCCTAGTTGGTGCCAAATGAAAAACTCTCTAATTAAAAAAAAACAGTGTATGTATATGTGCTATGTATATATGTTGGGATTTATTTTCAAGTGGGGTGCATGGATCCCCTAATTGTACACTAACTGTGTGGCATAGATGAGGTGGACCAATAATGTCCCCTCGATATTTTTTATTTGAAAAAATTCATGTAATAATAAAAAGTAAGAAATAGTTGGGTTTAATACATAAACCTATAACATAAGTGGTGGAGACCAGCCTACCACCACAACCACAAACATAAGAGATGGAAGTAGAAGGTGGTGGGGAAATCAATGTTCTTCAAATAATTTTTGTTTGTCGAAGTTCTTCGGATCAATCTTCGATCTACATACATATCTTACAAGCTAGAGGATTTAGCCATGACAATATGAAGGTAATAGAACTCAATGTTTACAAAGGCCTCCTTAGAAGTTGTTGCTACCGGAAGGGAGTGAGAGGATGAAAGGAAACTTATTTGTGGTGCGAAAGAGTAAAACTTGCTAGAAACCTATACTTGACGGAAACGATAATAATTTAAAGATATGGGCAATGACTAATCAATTGAAATACAAAAGTCCCTAAACTAGTGACCGCCAATGAAAATCGAGGTGACGACAAAACTTCGGCTACTTCAATGTCAACAAGACCGATCTTCCTTACGTCTTTTTAATTGGAGAAATTTTATACAACAAACATCAAAATCTGAGTTGTCTCCACCACTTCCGAAAAGCTACAACTAGGTAGGGGTGTGCAGAAAACTGTATAAACTGTCCGTACCGCATAATGCGGTTTAGAATTTTACGTGCGGTTTGTAGTTACAAAACCACGGTTCAAACCACCCAACACCGCATATATATATATATATATATATATATATATATATATATATATATATATATATATATATATATACACACACACACACACACACACACACACACACAATGTTATAACCCGTGAAAACCAAAATCAATATATTTAAAATTATTATATAGATAAAAAAGAAATACAAAAAAATAATCAACGTATTGTCAATTGTAATAAACATAATACTTTACCATATGTGTAACATCCTGTTTTCAAGATATTTTCATTTCGAAATGGTGAACAAGGTTTGGGTATTAGCAGTGTTAGAATCCTTGAAGAAGTCAGTTATTGGGCTCATTTGGAGGTGGATGTTATATTAGATGTTTTGGGTATTTTGTTGTGACTTTGAGCAAAAAGAGTATTTCGATAATTTGTCGATCGTGCTTTATGGGAAATGGATTTTAGATTCGGGATATCTGATGTCAAGTTTGAATTGATAATAGTGTTGAGCGTCTCGATGCCTTTCTATGGATATATGGATGGTCGATATTGGAGTTGTATCGTGTGAGTTATGCCATTCGAAAAAGTTAGGGTTTAGGGGAAAACCCTAGTGTGCTTGGCGTACCAAGTGATACGCATGGCGTAGCGAGGAGAAAAGGTCTGCGCGAGGCGTAGCTGGGAAGAATACACAGCGTAGGTGCGACGTTTAAGTCGGGGTGCGCGGCCCCGTACGTGGGGCGTACAAGAAGGTATGTGGGGCATACAAGAAGGTATGTGGGGCGTACGAGGATCAGAATGAAAAACCCTAATTTTAGGGATGGACACTATATAAAGAACATAATTCCTCAAAGATAATCCTCCCTCTCACCCTTGGAAAACTTTCACAAAACCCTAATCCTTCGTGTGTGTGTGTGTGTGTGTGTTCTTGGAGCTTAGAAGACCATTAGAAGAGTGTTTTGGTGATTTTGAAGAAGGTGCTCACTCTTGAAGATTCATTGAAGAAGCTAGAGCCTTTAGATCTAGAACCTCATCAGCCTTTGGCTCTCATTTGAGGTATAAAGTCTCAAACTTGGTGGTTATTTTCTTAGATCACTTTTGGGTTGAGTTTATGGACTCTTTTGGCCCCATTGATGAAGTCCCTTGATTCCATGTCGTTTTTGGAGCTTAGAGTTACCCCTCTCAGTGTTATTTGGGACCTAGAATCATAAAGTTGTTATCTTGGAAGTCTTAATGGGTTCATGCAAGAGTTAAGACCATTTTCATGGAAGTAGAATGCCATTTTTGGAGTTTGGGCTTATATGTGGCATGCAAAGTCACCAAGCCAGTGACTTTATGGGTTTAAACATTGTTTGGGACTCGGATGTGTAGTTTGGACTTATGGCTTAAAGCATTAAGTGATTAATGGAAACGTAGGTTTAAGAGGGACGCACAGTGGACGTACA